ATTATGCTAGTTTTGAAATTATTAGATATAAAATAGGATTATTTGGTAATAGTAACATGTATGTAATTAAAAATTAGAAATTGACAAAAATACCCACACAAAAAAATTCGATTTTTTATTTTTATTTTTATATATTTTTTCGTCAATCCGATTTGGTTTTAACCGCAACTAAAATTCTCAAATATAAACCAAACACTTTTTGACCGGTTTGGTTTGGTTCAAAACAATTTCATTGACGGGTCCATGTGGCACCAAATCGACGGTTTCTAAAATGCGATTTCGATTTGACTTTTCGGTTTGACGATTTTTGCTTGCAGCCCTAATTTCTGGACGAAACAACAATCATGTGGGACATATAACTATTCCGAACATAACCGAGCAAACAAAAGAAAAAAATATGTACAAACGAAATGTCATTTGGGATTTATGGATCAGTTTCCATGGAAGAACTAATTTGAGTTTTGTAAAGAGGAATGGGACTCAGTTCATAGTGGATGGTAGACCTTTTTATTTCAATAGATGGAGTGCTTTTTGGGTGATGGACCATGGCGTGGATGAATCAAGAAGACCTAGAATTAGGGAGATGCTGCAAACTGGTGCAAAGAGAATTTTTTTTTCTTTTTTTATATTTCTAATTTTTGAATAATTTGTTTGGAACTTGTTTGAATTTTTTATTGAGAAATTTGATGAAAATGATGTTTTGCGCAATCAAATGTGTAATTACTGGTGAAAATGTCAAAAAAAAAAATAAAAAGTAAGAACGTTTTACACAATAATAGTGAAATGTAAGAACGTTAAGTGCTAATTGCCCTATAGAAAATGCCAAAGAGTTCTCATGGTTTGAACCTTAAATCTCGATAATTGAAAATAACAGACGATCTTGTTATGTTTGGACTCCATTAAAATTTGAATTTACGTGTAATATTATTATTTTTGAAATGTGTAATTAAAAATAAGAAAGTGAAAAATGTATTACAAGTTAATTTGGCGGTGAATTCACCAATTTTTTTTTCTTGTCGGGGGGATTTTTTTATTTAGAAATACTCAAGAAATGAAGTTTCTATTTATCTCATTCTATAAAAATTCATTTTTCTCCAAACTCATTTTTAATCCCACATTGTTCTAATAAAAAAATTTACATATAAACTTGATTAACATT